AGGGAATGTTTTACTGAGCAAACATTTGAGTAAAAGACTGAAGTGAGAGAATGAGCTTGTGGACGGTGAGGGTGAAGAATGTTCTAGGTAGAGGGAAGAGGAAGGGCAGAGTTTCCAAAGCAGGAGCTTGCTTGTCATGTTCTAAGTATAGCCAGAAAGCCACTGTGACTAAGGGCAGTGAACGAGAGGGATGAGGCCAGAGAGGTCATGAGAACCCAGATCACGGACGGGTCGTGGGGGCAATTCGTAGTGATTTTGGCTTTTAGTCCGAGCAAGAGTTTGGTGCAGGAGTGACATGATCAAGTTTGTATTTCACAAGGTCATGTAGACCTGTGTTGAGCCGTGTCTGAAGAGGGGAAAGGGTGAAAGCAGGAAGCCTGGTTGGGAAGTGGTTGCAATAATCCAGGCAAAAAGTGATGAAGGCTTAGACAAAGATGTTATCCGAGGGTCCTAGATATATTGTGAAGGTGGAGTCAGGATGTGCTGACAGCTTTGCCGTGGAGTGTGCAAAAAAGAGAGGGATCAAGAATGAGGAAGATGTAGAGAGGCAGATATTCAATGCCATAGCACAAGCTCAGTTTTGGACAGGCTCAAGTATAAAATATACCTATTATAATTTATAATAATAAATTAAGTTCATAATATATAATATATACTAATATAAATTAAGTTCGAGTATAGTATATGCCTATTAAAATTTATAATAATAAATTAGATACATGTTAAACATTCCAGTGGGGATGTTGGTTGGGCAGGTAGATACATAAGTCTGGAGTTTGGAGGAGAAGGCTGGGTGGAGATAAACATTTAGGAGTTGATAGCATGTATATCTTATTTATTTATTTTAAATTAATTAAGTAAGAGAGAGAACGGGGGAGGGGCAGAGAGAGAGGGATAGAGAGAACCCCTAGCAGGTTCTGCGCTGACAGTGCAGAGCCCGATGTGGGGCTTGATCTCCCAAATCATGAGGTCATGACCTGAGCCGCAGTCTAGAGTTGGATGCTTAATCGACTGAGTCACCCAGGCACCCCTGTAAATCAAATTTAAAGCTATGAGAGCTCATCATGGTGGTGCAAAGAGCCCACAAATGGAGCCCTGAGCCTCCTGTCGTTTAGCGGTCTGACTTGAACTTGATAGGCAAGTCCTGTTCTCCTAGGGATGGAACACCTGCTTAATCTGGCATTTGTGATTATGGCAATTTTGATAGCCCTGGTAACACTTTCTCTCAGGGCAGGACAGATGAGAAGTAGAGAGGAGGACGCACGTGTTGCTGTTGTCACTGCAAGATCTACAGTGTGGCAGTCTCAGAATATGGGGCAGGCTTAAGAATTAGTTTAGCTTAAGAATTATTATGCTGAGGGGCGTCTGGGTGGTTCAGTTGGTTGGACGTCTGACTTTGGCTCAGGTCTTGATCTCATGGTCCATGGGTTCAAGCCCCGCATCAGGCTCTGTGCTGACAGGTCAGAACCTGGAGGCTGCATCAGATTCTGTGTCACCCCTGTCTCTTTGCCCCTTCCCGGCTCATGCTCCATCTTGCTCTGTCTCTCAAAAATAAATACATGTTAAAAAATTTTTTTTAAAGAATTAGTAATAATGCTGTGCAGAAAGAACCTGCTTTCAGTGTATTTTAGCTAGTATTGTTTCGGGTCCAAGGAACAGAGACTATAACCATACTTAAATAACATGGAGAATAAGCATGTTGTGTGCCTTACAGAGCTGGAGGACTGGAGGGCAAATGAGTCTCAGAAATAGGCCTGTCCTGAGGCGGTTCTGTTGTTGTGTTTCTCTTTTTTCTCCACGTCCATTTCTCCTCCTTCCTGCATGTGTGCCTGCCTCTTCTCTCTGCAGACTGGCTTTCTCCCTGTCCCTCTCTGGCTTCAGGCCCCGTGTAGCTTGGCTGTCCCCCTCCCCACTGCTGCATCTAGCTCACTTGTCCCTGCCCCACAGAGGCTGATTTGCATTCTTTCCCAGTGCCCGGGGACAGAAGGATGGGTTTTCTCCCGGACCCAGTCCTCTGCGGCCAGAGGTGAGGTCTCACTGTTGGGCTGCAACTGCAGAGGCCAAATCCTGTGTGGGTCTGAGAGGGCAGGGATCAGGTGAGCAGGACAGATACCCCAAAAGATGACGACTTCAGAGAGTGGTGGTGCTTTATTATCAGAGGAGAGTTGGCATCATCTCAGTTTAATCAGGTGCCTGGAATGTCTCTCAGACTAACTAAAGTGCCTGTGTTAGGTTTGCCTTCGCTGTACTGGGCTATGAAGTTAAGTCCTTGGCTTGTACTGAAGGGCTCTGTCACACATAGCCATATGAGTCACCCCTGCATTTATGATAAAATGGTGAGACCATCGTCTACTATATCATTTAATGTTCCATATAATGCTTTTAGACTTTGGTTCCAGAATAGTCCTATCTCTAAGGAATAACAGGCATCTTTTTCAAATTAGGGCTTTAAACCTTGTCAGGTTTCCCGGTTGTATGGCCTTAAGGAAGTCCCTGTTAACTATGTAGTTAGCATGTGTAGCTGAGCTGGGCTGGAACTTTTAGGCAAGGCCATATATACTAAGTAATCAGAAGGGAAATAGCCAAAGGATAATATGTCTCTATCTGCATAGGGATTTCAAACTCCAATGCCCATGGAGTCCAGGAAGTTAACAAAGGTGATTGTAGGTAGGCTTAAGATAGACAGTAAGTGTAAACTTTGTATTGAGTTCAAGCATAACTTAGTGGCCTAGTTGCATTGCCCTAGTTGCATTGCTTTTTAAAACACAAGGCTGGCCAAACAAAACAGCGAGGTAGGACACATTGGAGGCAACCTGCCAATTGTCAGAACTGGAATCTCACACAGAAGCTCACTGGTCTTAAAGCTGCTCAGTGTGGGGTCCCCTCCTAGGAAGATTCCTGCCTAAACCCAGCTTGCCCTCCTCAGTAGGACAGGGCCTTCCTTTCTCACTTGGTATTGCCACGGCCCATCCAGACTTCATATCTCGAATCACATATGTTCTTTTTCCTGCCTAAGCCCTGCCTCCTGTGTTCCTGTTTCCTGCTGATTCCTCACCTTTTTCAAGGATGTCAGTATAGGGAATGTCTGTCCCTTACAAGGGAGACCTTGATCCTGACCCACAGGAATGCAACCATCTGTGTCCTATGCAAGATAGTCCTGTCAGAATGTGACAAGGGAGCCCAGCATCGGGGCAAGGATGCACACACTGGTTTTTTTAGAGAGGAGGTACATTCTGAGGGTTATACATTGAAAATGGAAAGGAGGTGTCCTTGAGAGTAGACTCAGGTGTTTTCAGCATGAGGAAAGATTCTCCCAGATTACAGATTGACACATGAGCATCTTGATTTTGTGACAGTATCTTAGAAATTTGGTCACTGGCGGTCAAGCTGCCTGTGCCAAGTTGCCCTGGGGCAGCTGACTGAGCTCAAGGTTCAGGAGACTGTCC